ACCGCTCCAAACAGAAGTACAACAGGATATCTCTCTATGCTCCTAGAAACAGTTATCTACAGTACTGTCAGGATAATTCAACACCATCCTTCTGCATTTACTGCTTCACACTACCAAACAGGAAAGAATACTAAAATATGTGCTCCCTTTTTTGTGACAGGTTCTCTTCAGGAAAAAGAAGTACTTGACAAAGCCTACAGAAAGATGAAGAAATTTGAGACAACCAGGAGCAGAAGTGAAGAGCAGTTTAGCTCTATTCCTACTGCCCTTGAAGAGCCAGTTAACCTTTCCATCCAGCTCCAGTCAGAGAGTTCTCTGCTACTGGGACAAGATATTCCGCTTTCCATTCAAGTGTTTAACCACAGTGGTGAAGAAAAGGCTACTCACCTGATAGTTGGAGCCCAGTCTCTACATTATAATGGTGCAGCTGTTACCAAACTTTGGAAGGAAGAGTTTCATTTTACCCTCAAAAGCAATGAAGGTAAGGACTTTACTGGGTGCATGGCTAAAAAAGTGTATCTAGCCCTCTCACTTCAGGAAAAATGCACTTAGGCATAAATTTACAAAAGGCTGACTGAATAGTTGCTGTAGGTGATTGAAATAAAACACTATGGCAACATCACCTTAGTGCTTTTGAATCTGCAAATCCAGTCGGGATCACTTAAGCTTTTGAGTGCTGCAGCTTTTAGTACAATGTTGGGCACTAAACACTCCTAGGTGCCATGCAGGCTAAGATCAGACTGCACTTATCATCTACATTGTCATCTGTATTTCACAACTCTCTATTCCAGCTAACAACCTGCAGGTCCTTGTGCCTTACTCACAGTACAGAAAAGAGCTGGGTGAGAACCATCTGCTTAGGCTGACTGCCATGCTGAGAGACGAGGACTCCTCCGACATATACCTTGCACAGGAAGAGATCAGGATTTGTGATCCTGTCCTCACTATTAAGGTTAGATCAGTCAATCATTCTGTTACTGCAGTAGTGAGAAAACAGGTTTCAGTCATAAGCAGCAAAAAAATTCTGCTGCGTTCAGTGGCTCTTCTCATGCTATTTTCTTTCAAAGCACTGAGACATCAGTTTGGGAAAGGTGAGTTGCGCCACACTGTCGTACACAGTATTTTCACTTCTACCTCGTCTATGTGTGAGCATAAGGAAATCCCAATGACTCCTAACTCACTCACCAGTCTGGAAATCAGAGGCTGCAGAAGGAAACTACAGCAGAAGACTGTAGTTAAGAAGAAAGTAAGCTGGACTTAGACTTTTCTGGCAACCGGCAGCTCAGGCTGACACCTCTGGCACCAAAAAAATCATTTATCTCCTTTAATGATAGAAGATTCTCCTTCCTTCTCTCAGTTTCAGCTCATTTTGTTTTTTCAACAGTTTCCAGAAAACATGGTACAATATCAACCAAGCACAGTAAAGATCAGCCTCCTGAACCCTCTCACTGAACCCTTGGACAAGTGTGTGATAGTGGTTGCAGGGCAAGGGCTCATTTACAGACAAAGGAAGTACAGGTAAGTGCAAACTGATCAATATAAGAATGGTAAATGGAAAAAGAGACACAATACAAGCTAGAGAAACCCTTGTACAGGAAAGGCTCTCCCCAAAAATAAGCAGGCAAAACGTGGCAAGAAAAGACTGCTACAGCATGAAAGCCCCAGGCATCCCATCCTTTATTTACAGACAATACAGAAGATTCTCACACTGAAAACGAGAAAAGCCACATAACAGAACTGTCAACAGATATGTAATACATAAGTTGAAGCCAGTATGACATTTGTGAAAGCTTCAACTCCAAAGGCCTAAACAGCAGAAGGAAAGGTCCCTGCCAACATAAAGGGCAACAAGAGAAGTACCACAAGACTTAGGCAGAAACACACATTAACTAAGACAACAGTTATAGTCACTGAAGTGAGCTATGAAATCCAAAAATTATTTGCTGTTGAGAAATCAATTGCTTTTTAGGTAGCCACTTGAACATCCATAAGTGGGGTAAAACTATACTGTTTGTGACGTGTCTTTCCACCCATTACCCACTGCCAGCAATAAACACAGTCCCTCAGTACAATTTTAACAGTGTCTTCCCATTCTCTGCTGAAGAGTCAGGCAAACCTGACTTAGCCAAGAGTCATCCAAAAAGGCATGCTCTCCTTTGCATGAAAAGAATCCCACATTTCTCTCAAGAAGCTGCATTAAGACAAAGTAACCTCACATGCCTCCATGGGGAGTTCAACTCTCCTGTAGTATCTTCCTTCCAAAGTAGAAGGAAGAAGATCTTCCTTCTAGTCGCATCTTCCTTCCAAACTAGAAGAACTTCTACTGTCACATCACAGTTCCATTGTGGTAGTTTAGATAACTGCCAGCCTTCTATTTGTAGTCTTTTTTCTTTCCTTTTTTTTGGCACCACAATCCTGCCTAGGAAATGCAACTCCTGGGCCCTGGGAACTAGAAATACAAAGAGGTGTGCTTCCTGCATAATCTCTTCTTGCCTTTCAGGCTGGGCTCTGTGCAACCTAAAAGCATTCAAGAGCTGCAAATCCTAATCACCCCCACTCAAGTAGGGCCCAGAAGACTCACTGCACATCTTACCTGCCCTCAACTCCAGAACTTGAAGAGCTACAAAACTATCGATGTTGCAGCTGCCTGATGCCCAACTTAGAACAGGTCCTGCTGTCCTGTTCACAAAAGAGTGGTCACGATCTGTGCCCTGATCTTAGGCAAGCATAGATGTTAGCAGTTTTAATTAAAGTTATATTTAAAACCATGTCTGACTTTGATTATTTGTACAAACTAAACTCTCTCCCAACTGCCCCTATGCCCACTCTCCAGTTTTGTAAGTTGAACCTTAAGGTGACAATAATGGGCTAAACGCTCAAGCAGATGCTGCATTTCTCACCATGCGTATGTGCTCAGTACACCACTGCTTAATCATTTTTCCCTGCTCATGGCAAAAAAGGATATCCTAGAACTGTGAAGTGATGATAGCATTTCTCTAGAGATACACACTTATCCCCTTACAGACCCTTGAAGTTGGTAAAGTAGTAAATGCTATTTTCTACCGCTTTCTGAGGAAACAGAAAAGAGAAAGATAATTCACTCCTAAGGTTAGACAGGAAATAGCAGCAGTGCTGCATATTTTTCAATGGTTCATCAGGCTGCTTGCAAAAGAAGCAAGACCCTTTCTTTCTGTATGTATCCTCTGCCACCTGAAAACAGATATAGCCACTCATGCATATCTAGCAATATTTTATTGTCTTTTGAACCCCACAGCAGCTGTAATGTCTGAAGAATGGGGCACATTCACAACATTAAGATGCAGTACTGCACTATCCCAGGAATCAAAGGAAAATGACACCTTAAGCAATGGCAAAGAACAACTTCCTGGAAAAGTTTTACCAAGAGGCAGTAAAGGTCTCTTCTAAGAACACTGTTCTCATCATTCTCCCAGTAGCTGGAGATCAGTGAGATTCACTGGAAAAGCATATGCCAGAGCCAGTGGCAGCAACACATGTAGATATGGAAGAGCTAAAGTTGACCCTGTGTGAAGTTCTTGATTTTGTTCATGTTGTGATCTACAGCACTAGTTAGAAACAGCACCCAGCCTTCTTCTGATGGTGGACATACATGGCTTGTCCTGCAAAAGCGGAGGAAATTCATTAGGAAAGCCTCCTGGGTGTCTTATACCTATGCATCCAGACAATACACGGGTATTGTGAAGTGCTGCATTACCACAGCATTAAAACGAGACTGCTAGCCCCAGAGTGCTTTGAGCAAGGAAGAACCCACATCCATGTCTCTAGTCCCAAACCTTAACGCATACGTGTGTGCCTTCAGTGGGAATCACTTTCATCCCTACCATCCTTTTCTTACTCCCATCCCCCTGTGACTGGATAACACAACAATTATTCCAAACACCAGCATTTACTGTCTAGAAATGAGCCATCTTTGGCAGGAGGCAGAAAGATATCAACCTTCACAGCAGGGAACACACACTTATGAAACTGCAAATCATACTCACTTTGTAATCTCTAAGACTTTCTTTAATACCGAGGCCAACTTAGCAGCCTAGAAAGAAACAAAAGGGAAATAAAGTGAGCCAAACATGGAAAGAAACAGTATTGGAAAATAAAGGCGGGTGAAGGAATGCCCAACGCAGCCAAGAATAAGTAAAATTGATCCTTATGCAGAAGCTATCTATCACTGCTGTGCTGGGAGTGTCTCAACCTATTGCTGGCTGGGACAGGTGAAAATAAAGACTTTGAAAGCATACATTAAAATTATTTTTTCTTTAAAAAGATAAGCCTATTAGAAATTGGTAACCGATATTAAGGTGTGAAGCTACAAGTGACTGACTATAACGAAATTTGATATTAAGCAATTTTTTTTTTTTTTACCCTGAAAAATCGAGCCACTGGCCAAAGGTAAGACATCAGAATTAAGAATAAAAAATCTCAGATACAAGAAGATACATGCTTAACTTATGATGGAAGGGACCCCCTACTACAACCTCCTGCTCAAAGCAAGGCCTACCTCAAAGTTCAGTGAGGTGGCTCAGAGCCTTGCCCAGTCAAGTTTTGAGCGTTGCCAAAGATGGAGATTCCACTGTTTCTCTGAGCAGCTTGTTTCAGTTCTTAACCATGCTCACTGAGAGAATCTTTAATTTGTATTTTTAGTTTAGATACCTTTATTTAAGTAAGTCCACATTACCCAAGGAAGAAAGTAGACATGCAGTACATCAGCAGCCTTTGAGGTAGTTACTGGATGTCTCTATGGATTATAGTTCAAAGCCAAAGCTCTTCCCTGAAGAAGTAAAGATCAGGAATGCACTTCCACTCGAAGGAGGCTAAGTGTGCAAGGCCCAAAGGGGGCTCTTCGTCTCTTAAGAATTTGTTACTTAGACAGTCACTAACACCCACCTCTCCCTGACAGTCACATAATCTCTCCAGTTCGACTTCTTCCCCTTCTCTACAACCAAGTGAACAGACCTGCATCCAGACTGCAGATACTTACATTGAGTCGCACAGCTAACTCATTCATAGGTGGATACATGCTCAGTGCCAGTTCATCAACGCTACAATAGAAGAGAGGGGAGCAATGGAAGAAAGGTCCTGATAGCACAACTCAACGGATCTCGGTCAAAGCCTATACCCACCCTGAATGTAAGTCAGGAATGGCAGTGCATGACAAGGAGACAATGTCAGCCATAGCAGTTCTCACTGCCTTCTCAGACACCTATGCGCCACTCTTATCTTCAAGAAAGACATGGCCATAGCTCCACCCCAAGCTGCAACTTATGTTCCTCTCCTAACCTGCATAACTCTCAACAGACTAAGCCATAATAGTCTTCCCACCACATCTGCCACTATAGTTCCAGTATCATAAAGGTGTTCCTAATCTGTTCTCTAGACCTGAAGACAGATAGGGACTGCTCTAGAGCAAAAAGCGGCATGGGGAGAGATCTGCTTACCTTGGACTGATCTCATTAGCAATGTCTGCAAGATCATCCAGCTGAGCAATCTGCTCTGGAGAATCAGCTTTGCCATAAGCCTTCACTACACCCAAGACCTTCTTCAGGCAAGCTTTGGAAGCCTTCATTAATCCCATGCAGGAGCTAAGCAGCTTCCGGTCAGCTTCTGACCAATACGTATCTCTGTTGCCCCGAAAGCCCAGGTCTTCATCTTCCATGATGTCACTGTAGGGGTCTTGCCCTTCCACCAGAGCCTGAGAACACAGATGCACTAAAGACCCAGAGCCTAACATCAATTCCAGCAACACCCAAGCGGAAAAGGAAAACATAAGCTAGAAATCACACAAATAATTTATGGAAGTATCTCTTTCAAACCAGCATCTCAGTTGCCAGATTCTGTTAATCCTAGCAGAACTGGATTAAGAAAAACTAATCCCCCACTCCAATTCAACAGAGCAGACAGCAAGAACCTGGCAAATAGTGCCTTTCTTACACCAACCTAAAACGCCCTGTCACCCCATCTCCTCCCAGCAATTCAGGACATGGCTTTATGGAAACCTTATATAAAGTAAACCAGGCTTGAGTTTAAAAACTCATTAAGATCCAGGCATAATACAATAATCTGGCTCACATCACAGCAAATTTACATCAAAGCCTGTATATAAAACAACCCCTGTGTTCCATCACCAAATCATCACTGCAGGTTCCTCCAAGGCTTAGGGGCTTCCTTACATGTTCCATTTCCTCTAGAGCATCCTTGACCACACCTAGACATGCAGCCAGAGCCGACGCCACTGCTGCCTGGTTATCTGCAAAAGCAAAATGATGAAATCTGTGGCACTGCACTGATTCAAATCAGCTTGCAACAATGTTCATCTAGGTTTGCGATCATTAGATCTTGAAATTGTAGGATCAAACTTTTTGCAGAGCTCAGAGCTGAATTGTTGCCATGCAAAGAATCTGGCCTGGCTTCCAAGCTCATGCATTTCGAAAACAGTCGAGTTCTGCAGAATGAGTTAGCCTCCATTGTAGTAGCTAGAATGCCCCTTGCAAGGGCTGCTGATATTCCAAGACAACACATCCTACTTCTGTGATTCTGCACATACAATACTCACCTCGTGGCAGATTGGACACCTGCTCACATGCCTCCCACACACCACCAGTTGATATAAGCTGTTCCTGAGACAGGCTGAAACAAAACAAAAAGCCCCTCAAAGTTAGACTCAATAGCACCACTCTGCTAGGCTGTGTGTTTATTTTCTGCACGAAAGATTATGCACACTAGTATTAGCTCTGCTGGAGAGATGTCACCAACTAGCTTGTCACTACTGTCTCATGTCTGTTTAAAGCAAGAAGTGCTGGCTGCTACTGAGTTTAATTATCCATTGGAACAAGAAGCAGGAGCCTCTTACAAAGACCTCTCAAGGTACTTAGGCATATTATTTATCTTGTAGAATCTATGCAAAGACTGCTGACCTCTGCCTAAGGGCAGTGGCATGTAATCCATAAAGAGAGGAAGCAGTCCATAGTGGTCCAATAACTAGCTTTATAAAGTTGCACAGTCATTGCATATGACAGTTCACTCCAAGGACACAAGCTGCCAAACAGTGCAAATGCTATACAGCACCTTCACGGCAATCCTGCTCCCAGCATCTTTCCTTGCCACAGACAAGATGAAAATCTAATCTTCACATAGGCAAATATACCTGACTCAGTCACTGGGACAAGAAGGTACTGTCAGGGCCTTGAGTGTATTCCACCCTCCCAGGAGTTTAGTTGGCTCAGTTGAGGAGTTTAGTTGGCTAAGTACATGGTTTGCCAACAGGAGGTACTGTGAAGAAAGCTAGGCATGAGGGCCAGCCCTTCCTTACCCTGGGAGATGCTTTTAGCCTGAGGTTCTTTCACTGGGCCCTGTTTGTGCTACGTCACAACTGTGTAGCAGTTACGTCTGCACCCAGTCTCACACCCCCTTGATTCTGACCTAGATTCTGACCCACTGATTTGAGCTTCCTGCTTTGATCTCAGACCCAACTCATTGTAATGGATGTGCTGGGCAATTACTGGATGATGTCTAATGATGCTAACTCTCTCTGGACCTCCTGACCCTGGTCCCGACTTGCGGGCCTGACTTTCCAGCTTGATGTCATCACTATGGGCTTGTCTGATGATCTGGACTCTCA